ACTATGAAAGCTGGAAATAGATAAAAATCAGTCAAGTCAAAACCCCCTCAAAATTCTTTCTTTATGAGGAGCGGAGGCAACCAGAAGTACCCCGAGTGGTAGCTAGTGCCAAAAGAAGCCAACCGCAAATAAACCATCTCTTCAAATTTCGCTAAAATAGACCCACTATTTCAAACAGACCAAGAATAAGATTTTTAAGAGAATTTTAACAGCACAAAAATCTTATTCTTTTTTTCGAGCACTAAATCGACAAATGTGGGGTACAAATAAAAAAAAACCGCCCTGATTTACGAAATTTCATTCCTGTTTCAGATTTCAACAATTTCTGGAAATGCTTTCGGTACAATCAGCCAGATGCGACAAATAGACCTCAGTTACAATCGAATTGTACATATACCGGCTGGGACATTCAAAAACGTAGCGAAGTCGTTGCAATGGATGAATCTTGAGGAGAACCAATTGCATCAGCTACCAAGCGCCATTCAACAGTTGCGAACATTGGAAGTTTTGAATATGAATGGCAATAAGCTTATTGCGTACGTCATTTTATTTACCACTCATTTGCTTATTTTTACTGTGCCGGCAAGGCGAATCATCATAGTCTTAAGCGTTCGAGATGAGACAGCAATGCTTAGCACACATCGAGGAGACTGCAAAATGGTAAATGCTTTTGTAGGGAGAATCACTGTGCTGGTTATACTTTCATTAGTTTCAGAAAAGAATGACCAAAAGGACATAAAGCACTAGTCAGAGTAAATGGAAAAGTTGTCGGCTGCGCGAGTAAACCGCACAGGACCAAACTACCTAGGCTAAAAGAACTTAATCCGTGGCAAAAGTGCCATCGTAATCAATTTAAAACAGATTTCTAACTCTTAAAATTAGTAAAGTTACACTGAGTGGTAACTTAAACGTAGAGAAGGCTGATAATTGCAACTATGCACTACAAGTAGGGAGTTATTCCGATCTCGAATTCAGGCTCGATAACAACACAATCAGCAACCTAAAGCCGGCGCTAACGGAACTTCTTCTGGCATTCAACCGCCTGACGGAGATACCGACCCATGCTCTCAACGAAATGAGTCGTTTGCGTCATCTCGATTTATCAAAAAATCGCATTCACTCACTGAAACGATTAGCCTTCGGGAAATTCGATGGCACTGGTACAAGTCTGTTGAAGCTGAATCTGGCAGGCAACCTCATTGAAAACATTACCGATCCGGGATCTTTCCTGTATATGAGTTCGTTGACATATTTGGACTTATCACACAATCGTATAAGCTATCTCAGTGATAATGTCTTTGAGCGTCTCGAGGGCCTCGAATCACTTTTTCTACAGGCAAGTTTCCGCTTCTGATATAACTAAATCTAGCATAAGTAATTTACTAACAGCCGATCCTGAGAACAGAGTGCGGGCTGCTTAAACAACCTTAGCACAAATTCTACAGTGCTGGACAAATGCCTTGCAATTCGTTTTCCCAAAGCATCCAATGCGAAGATATTCGAAACCAGTAGGAGATAGTGGACCATCAAGAAAACAATTAGGTCGGTGCAGTGCAATACATACCTCTCACTATTCGGTGAAATTAAAATCAGAAACTTTTGTCACCACCTAAGATTGTCCCTGTGGAAGAAAGGCAAAGCTCGCATTTAGTCATATTTTTTTGCGGTAACACGCAGAAATTGTATTTCAAAAATTACTGAGTTCCAGAATTTTTATCTAAGCGAGGACCGATTTGCAACATGGGAAGTGGAGGAGGCTTGCTGCCTGGCAGTTCCAGAATTCCCAGCAATTTGACTGCCATCACTTTAAAATGTCGGAGCACAAGTATTCACAAAAATGCCATCACCGTTTCCATAAATTTCAGTTTTTCATCGTACGGATTTCAGTTTTTTCAACAGATTTTTCCGTTTTTCAAAACAATCTTTTATTAACGAAGCACAGCAGTCCCCAGTGCGATGTTTTCAAAACTTCTCAAGATACTTCCTTTTAGAACAACCAACTCACGGAGTTCCCAAGCAGTGCTCTGGCCAATCTGAGGCGACTGCGCTATTTGCTGCTGGACGATAACCCGATCAGAGCACTGCCTGATTCAGCTATTCAAAGCCTTACGCATCTCGAACGATTAAGCTTAGGTGGCACACAGCTCCAGCAAATCACCGAACAAACATTCGCTGCCGAAGTGGCACAAAATTTACGCTCGTTGAACCTCGCATTCGGTCATATCAATTACATTTCCAGTCGAGCATTCAGCAAAATGGACAGTCTGGAACAGCTGGCACTCAACAACAACAAACTGGCAATCATCCATTCACACGTATGTTTTAACATACTGAAGTAAAATAAATACGCCAGAACGAGCTGCGCAAACGATCAACTTGTTTCTGGTCGACCGTTTGCAACCGGGTTTTTTTATCGATCAATTTAGAATGCTACAAAATTGTCCAAACCAAGAATAACAGGGACGTCCGGACAATCACACCGATGACTGTTGATGATGCTACTGGGATGCTCTACAAATTCTGTGCAGCTTGGCCAAGTCCTTCGCTCCAACCTTCATCCCCTCATCAGTGTATGTGCGCATCTTCTTAGAAACCGTCCGAGTACTTTTTCGAGCACACCAATTGCACTGATATGCAACGCCCATCATATGTTGTATGTGTTCGATGGGAAGCCATGAGAAGCACTGTGGACGAACGATCTTCGAATTAAAATCAAAAATTATTTAAATTTTTCGAAAAGCTCGTAATTTTCCTATTACTCGCTCAAGACAGCTCCCTGAACCTGCGACACTGTGTTTGGTTTCTCTGCCGATAAGTTAGAGTTAAATATTTAAGACATTTTCATCGCTGAGGAGCCTGCGCCAGCTTAATTTAGCGGACAATGAAATCAATGCAACTGAAGAGCGATCAATCAGCGATATTCCAACCCTGAAGCACCTATCTCTGGCCAGAAATCGCCTTCGGTATTTACGTAAGGCAACGTTTGTTAATCTGAACAACTTGGAGCAGCTGGATTTGAGTAGCAATCATCTGCAGGCATTCGCCTTCACATTCCTCGCACAGAGTTTGGTGAATCTCAAGCAACTCGATCTGTCCCACAACCGCATCATCACGTAAGTGCCTCTCTTATGGCCCGTTTTCTTGTTTTCTGAACTGCCAAAGCAGAAAATTGAATCTTATTCAAAAAATCCCACCATTCTGAATTTTGCTGATTCAGCAAAACTATGCAAATGCATATTTGGCAGAAAGGCCAGCAAGAGAGGGAATTTTCTGCATGTTGCAAGTGGAAGTGCATTCACCAACAATAAGAAACAACGAAGAATCGTTACTGAATAATTTTACGATAAAATCTGCATTTCCAACTAGTTAGGAACAGCAGCTCCACTCTGCTGCTGAGAAGCACCAAAAGCCTTGCAACGGATGAGTTTCAAATTATCGAATTCCCCCAGATATGTGACGCAGCAAGAGCTACAAAGGTCTCAGATTAATACAAAATTCTGTCATCCATTTTCAGATCAAAGATGCATAATTTCTTAAACTCGAGATTTTGCTGCAGAGTTGATCTGAACGCGGCTAAGCGAACGCTTGTGTACCTCGACCTGGCGCATAATCAATTGCAATCTATCGGGAAGAACATGTTCGATGATTTCAATCAACTCAGAATCCTCAAACTAGGCCACAATGAATTAATCGAAGTGCAAAGTAATGCCTTTTTGACGTGCCCGCAGCTCAGTGAACTTGATTTATCGCACAATCATCTCAGGATAATACACAAAGGGACTTTTGCTAACCAGGTAAAACGTTACATTGTCAAACGAAAACTCAACAAAGCTCTTAAAAATTCCATTTTTTTAGAAAATAACAGCTCAGCAAACATTTTTATTTGTGACTAGAGAAGGCCAGGTGCAATCTAAGAGTACTAATTCTGTCGGTTTTTAGAAAGCCTATGAAAGCCTTAAACTGCGGCACAATGTAATAATCAGTTTGGATACGGATACTTTTGGAGTTGATAATGTCCAGAAGCTTGATCTTGCTTATAATGAACTTAAGAAAATCCCACGGCATGCATTCAGTTCGGTGCGCAACAGCATCACCGTTCTCGACCTCAGAGTGAGTTCAAATTTTTGCACTAACTCATTTCTTGCATTAAAATTTACCGCTTGCACTTTAAAGTTTGTAAAAATGATTTTTGTGACTTCTAAGATAACGGGCCGCGATTAAATAGCAGCGAGTCACGAGAGCGATTGATTACTGTGGCAAGTTCCCTCCTTCTACGTGACCGCGATGCTCAAACATTGCTACACAGGTTCATCAGGCCAAGGAAACGGCGCACTGTAGCCCCTAACCATTCCACAGTTACCAAAAAATTTAGGGCAATCGAATTCGCTCGATTGATACGAATGATTTCGATGGAATGGGTAATTTAACGGAGTTGATACTGGCTGATAATCACATCGAAACAATCGAGGAAGCGGCTTTTTCAAAAATGCAGAAACTGATGAAATTGGATCTCAGCCATAACCCGATCACATCCTGGAATCCACATGCCTTTCAGGTAATCATATGAGTGCAAAATCTGGCAGATGTAGGATAATGCTGACTCATTTCGCTACATGTTTATTGCCCGATGTTTCTTCTTGGACCTCCAAGTTTTGAGTCCAAATAAGGATCCAAGTCTTGAATCCAAATATTCTGAACAGATAAGTCCAATTTTTTTGCTGAATCATGAATTACGAAAAACCTCGGAAAAACCTTGCTGAAACAAAAAGCGAATAGAGAAGATTACGTTTCGTTCATTTGCTGGTAAGAGTGATATGTGCGAGACTCTATTTCAGGATCTAAGCAGCACAATCGAAGCATTAAATCTTGCAAGTACAGGTTTATTTTCACTGCCGAGAATAGATAATCGCGGGCTTCGTCAGCTTAACATAAGCAAGTAAGCAAAGTTTGGGGAATTCTGTAAGTTCAAAAACCGTGGCAGTGGTGAAACTCTGAAAAAACAGTCCGTCAGCAAAAATCCGAAACCATATCTCCAAAGTCTAAGTCAAATTTGCTAGCCCACAAGACAAAGTTCATTTTGCCTCTTAATCATAAAATTTCACGACGGCCGAATCTTTTACGTACCATAATTGTAAGCTTAACCTTCTTCTCTCCCACTGCTTCGCTATGCATTGTATTTTCCAAAAAAATTCATGCTGCTTGGCCATAACTATGCTTCTAGTGAACAGGGAAAAAAAATCGACTAAACAAAGCATGTCCCAAATCTGCTCTTTCCATATTTCTGTTGAATTTTCTGGTTTTTTTTTTAAAGTGTTCAGGGCACCGCTTTAATGCTTACCAAAATTAAGTTGCAGCAACAAAATTCATGGGCTGAGCGCCGCAGATTTTCTTCACCATCGTAAACTAACAACGCTTGATATTTCACACAACAGCCTCAAGGAAATCGACCCAGAAATTTTTGTTGGGCTAGTGGAACTGAAGCATCTGAACATCTGTGGAAATCTGATTGTCAAATTCACCGACAAACACCTTCAGGCCCTATATTACGTATGTTCTTTTTGGAATATGTATAAAATTGAAATGTACTTTATGCTCTGGAAGAAGCTGTGTTTAACAGCCGTGAAATACTATTGCAGCTGGAAATGCTGAACCTCTGTGACATGAACATGCTGCTTCGTCTCCCTGAACCACATTCGTTTCGAAGCCTACGTCATCTGCGAGATCTTCACGTACGTTTTCAACGGATCAACCACGACACCCAAGGCCCGACGCCAGTGGTAAATTAAGATGCAAACACACATCAGGCGACCCAGTCCTGACTACTCGCCTCCAGTTGACACCCGCCACTTGTACCAACTAGGAACGCCAACTCCGTTGAAAGGAAGGCGGCCGAAGAGTGGGAACAAGGGAGGGGGGATTGTCAACAAGTACCTCCCACACAATAGATTTCGCTTTTTCGTGCGCTAATATTTTTTTCTTATCAAAAATCAAAACCTTTCCCGTTTTCACTCTCTTTGAGAACCGAGTGAACTCGGAATTGGCCCCAAATGCCAACAGTATTTACTCACTGACGAAGTTGTCGATACTGCCCCTTTCGAGAGTTACTTAGAAGTTGATCATGGCGTTGATTATCCTGGCATGCGCAAGTGCCGATGAGACTGGTAAATGTCAGATGGTAATCAGTTGTGCGTGTGACTGGTAAATCAGTACTTGCGAGGGCTAGTTGTCCCTGTGGCCGAGGCGACACTCGACAACGCTCTCCGCTGCACCACTTCCTCCTTCCCTAAACATTTTTGGGCGTGCGCAAATACAATTTAAAGAAGCTATGACATATCAAACCCAAGCTGATTTTCACTTCGTCAAAAATCTCGCCCCTCAAAAATTAGTAATTGATGTTCAGAAATGCAAAACTCAGGTCTTGCAGATTTACAACCTTCCACGTGTGCATGCTTACAACATATCGGATATCCTCAAGCATCTGCCTCCACTGCGAACACTAACAGTGGAAATCAGGGAGCCGCGGCTCAGGACACAACTGTACAGTGCTGATCTCCGACTGCTGCGCAAAATTGTTATCACTGGCAGGCAATTACTTAAAGTAAGTTAAGAAGAAGCAGCATTGTTTCAAATCAACAAACAGCTCAGCCTCAGGCCGAACTCAGTCCGCGATTTACAGCTGCTGCCTACGAAACTTGTTTGTCCACAGTGCGTGCAAGATAATCTCTACGGAGGCTTCCTGTGCTCCTTTGAAGAGTGTCTGGAATGCAAGCTGAAATCGGATTAAGTCTGCATCAAACTACGCCAAAAATTGCTTATTCACTACCAGGATGAAAACTCAGCGGAGTTTTTCACACAGTGACAAAAAAGAGGAGCACACATTTCGTAGGTGAAAGCGTCACAAGCCAATACACAACGCTTCACCCCTGTGTGTGGTGCAAGCTTTTGCCTTCCACAGTAGTAAAATGATAAAAGTCAAAGATAAGCACAGAAGTAACTAGTGGATTTTGTGATGTCAGAAAGTTTATCATCGTTTCTTTAGCAGACGTTATTCTCACTATCGTTGTGACAATAAGAATTATTTGTAAATTTGATTTTCATCGCGAAAAGTACCACACTTTAATGCACTTTAGATTGACACGGGCGCATTCGCGCATTTACGAGGCTACAAAATCGACCTAACAATACGCGATACGTCAATCGATGTGTTTCCCGCTGCTGTGTTCAATACATTAACCGCTGTTAGCTTTCTATCACTGTCACTGCACAACAATCGCCTACAAACGTTTGAACCATTCCCGCACACAAAACCACCGGTACTCAACCAGCACGGTACCATACTACACACTTTACACATAACGGTTAGTTTTTTATGATCCGTTTTCAGATTTTGCTTGCAGCAATGTTTCTTTTTATTTCATTAAGAATTTGCGGCATTTTTCATCTCATTGCTTGAGAATCCGACTCGCGAATACAGGCCTCCCTACGATGCAGAGGTTAGAGAAAAGCAGGAAGAGCAGTTAAATTCGTTTGTCTGGCAATTCGAAAACGCATTCTGTGTAAAAAGCAATTGGCTATTCCTCTCAAAATTTAACTACTTGGATTTGCGAGACCAGAAATCTCGCTTCCCGCCAAATCAGTAGCAATGAAAGTCTGTTTCTTTAGGTTTCAGTCATTAGAAAAGTGTGAATACGGATGCGATTAAGAAGTAAAGCACACCAGACCAGCCGGTGCGATCATGCGTTTTGTGCAATTTCGCCCACCGAACGATTGCCTATTAACGATTCTCACTGCTTTGTAATTTGGAAGCTTGAAAGATGAATATCCTCTCGTGATTCCCGAGATAACAGTTTACCCGCTAAGATTTTCACGAGGCCGTAAGTGACACCTAAAAGCGCGGGAACGCTGAATTTGAATTTGTAAGGTCGTACGTGGGCAAAGGGTCATTACCCTAAAATCTCAACTTCGTAGACTTTGTTGTTCCCGAGATAATAATTTACCCGCAAAAATTTTCACTGGCCCGTAAGTGATATGCGAGAGCGTGGGAACGCTGAATTTGAATCTGCAAGATCGTTCGTGGGCAGGGGTCACAACCCTAAAATTTCAGCTTCCTAGGCTCCACCGTACATGTTACCCGCGGACAAGGGGAAGCTGAATTTAAATTTTCTAGGTAGCACATGAGCGGAGGGTATGTCCACAAAATTTCAGGCTTCTAGTTTCTGTGGTTCCCATGATAATTTTACCCGCCCAAACTTTTGCGGGGCCGTACGTGTTACCCGCGGGGGTACGAGAGGCTGAATTTAAATTTGCGGGGTCGCATGTGGGTGGGGAACGTTCCCCCAAAATTTCCAGCTCCCTAGCTTATGTGGTCCCCGAGTTGAAAGTTACGGACAAGTTGCTGCGGACAGACACACACATACACAGACAACCCTGTGACAATATGCGTTTTGTACTGTTGTTACACAGCACAAAACGCATAAAAATGAAGCGAAACAAGGATTCGACACCACAAAGTCAGACAGCTTTATTCACTGCAGGGTAATTCAATGATCTGTGACTGCCGGTTGAGCTGGATCACTGAATGGATCGAGTATTATAAGAGTGTAAACGCAGCAGCGCAGGAGCAGCCCCTCAACGAGTCATACTGTGCTGATCAAGCAGGTGGAGGCTCAACACTCAACCAAGCATACACGACAGCAAACCACATTCTGTGTAATAAAGATAGTGCTACTGCGAGTCATTCGTCGATTCGATTTTTTCCGAACCTTTTGTTATTTTTTTCTTCGCTGGCTTCAAATTATATGTACCATCTTAGCTGTTTTTTGAAAATAAAATAGATAAAAAAGTGAAAATGAGAGCATTACTAAATAAACAGTGGCGCGCAATAGAGCAGCCGATGCGTTTTGTGCAATTTTGTTCACCGAACGATTGCCTGCTAATGACTTCCACTGACCTGTGCAAAAATAGTTCAAAAGTTGCGGAATTTCCCACTAAAAATTTTACACATCTGTACCTGAAAGCTGAATTTGAAACCTTGAAGGATGAATGTCTTTCTATAATTCCAGCCTCCTAATTTTCTGGCTTTCGAGTGATTTCTGCGGCAAAACTTTTACGTGTTCGTACGTAAGAGCTGGGCATATTCAGGAACTGAATTCGAGTTTGTGAAGCCTCTGTTTAGGCAGGAAACATTCTCTGAAATTCTTGGCTTTCTAGCTCTTCCAGAGATAATGATTTGTCTGCCAAAACTTCCACGGGACGTTGGAATTTTGCGGAGTCGTATATGGACAGAGGATGCCACGCTGAAATTTCAGTTTCTAGCTTCTGCAGTTAACGAGATAATTCCCCTAGCAGTACTTTAATTGGGAAGTACGTGGTACCTAGGGGTGCGTTAAGGCTGAGTCCAAATCTGCGGAGTCGCACGCTGTTAGAGGACATCACCTTAAAATTTCAGATTCCCAACTTTCGCGGTCCCTGAGGTAATAATTTTTCCTCACCAAAAATTTCACGGGGCCGTAATACTCGAGCATGCGGGAAGGCTGAGTTTAAATTTGCGGGGCTGTATGTGGGCGAAGGACATTACCGTAAAATTTCAGCTTCCTGGCTTTTATGGTTCTCGAGATAATTTACTCGTCGAAATCTTCACAGGGTCGCAGATGATATCTGACAGCGTGGAAACGCTAAATTTGAATTTGCGAGGTTGTACGTGAGCAGGGGTCATTACCCCAAAATTTCAGCTTCTTAGATTTCATGGTTCTCGAGACAGTAATTTATCTGCCAAAACTTTCACAGAGCCGTACCTGTTACCCGTGGGTACGGACAGGCCGAATTTAAATTTGCGGGATTACACCTGGGTGGGGAAAACTCCCTCAAATTTTCAGCTTCGTGGCTTTTGTGGTTCCGGTGATAATTTTACTTACCAAAACCTTTACCGGGCCGTACGTATTACTCGTGGGCACGAAAAGGCTGATTTCAAATTTTCTGTATCGCGTACGAGCAGGAGACGCACCCATAAAATTCCAGCTCCCTAACTTCTGTGCTCTCGAGACAATGGTTTTCCTGCCAAAACTTTTACGGGGCCGTACGTGTTACCCGCAGGTACAGGGAGGCTGAACTTAAATTGCGGGATCACACATTGGCGGGGAACACTCCACTAAAAATTTCAGTCGCCTAGCTTTTGTGGTTCCCGAGTTGAGAATGCGGAACAAAATCGGGACACATCCATAGACAAGTCCGTGACAACATGCGTTTTGTACTGCTGTTACACAACACAAAATGAATAAAAGTAAATGAACTCGTCTCGCAGATAAATAATACATTAAGAATGCCAAGTTCGCCTAGGAGATTAAGGTGGATAACCCAAATTAGTGATGTCACTGAGACGCTCCCAAATATGTTGCCTGCATTAGCAAAAGACTCCGAGTTAGTACGATGGCAATGCTGCGAAATGCATGCCCCAATCGCGTTAAATAAATCAACAAATCGAGCATTTTCGACAAATCTGTACGGCACGTGGATACACGAAAAAAAAAAACTGAACAATCTCACAATGCCTTGAACTTTTGGCAAACTTATTGTGAAATAAAACATGCATACTCCATGAATGCGACCAGTGAAGAAAATCAAATTTATATTGCTCAGATTTGGTCTAAACGAAAAGACTAACCCTTTAATAGTCGATAATGGAATTACTGATGACAGATCGAACGTGGCAACAATTCGTGAGCAAAGTACTTCTAACGACTCTTCTTCACCTGCAATTTTATTTGGACCACGTTCACCGTTGTGACAAAATTTTAGATAATTCGGCGAATCCTGTGACCAATGATACCACCTACCAGTGAGATGCAACAATGGTGCGAACAACAACTTCAGAAAAATGTCGATTTCTTCCGGATTGCAACTAGCCAGAAATCGAAGTATCGCAGCGCGTCGTGCTACTTCTCCTTTGTGAACGTGCATATTGTATTTGCCGTACAGAAGCCTAGAAACGAAAACATTGTTTTACTCGTTGTGAGAGGCTGACAAGGGATACTGGACAATGCATGGCCTGCGGCTCACGACTAGCTGCATAAAAATCGAGTTGCAAAATAATTTTTTATTCTGCCAGCCTTTCCATTTGTCTGAGCGTGCTTGCAGATGCTAGTATAATTGGCCAACGGATGGGTGCGAAGATACGTTTTTTTGCACAGCTCCTCGCAGATTTTTGTCGCTAACGGCACTGTTTTTTCCGGCAGATGCTTCTAGCTAAAAGAATTTCAGATTGGCCGTCAGGACTGTCAGGAAACATCCCTTCAAAATTCCAATCTTCTAGCTTCTCAGAATCCCGAGTTAGCAACTTACCCAAAAAAAAAAAAACTTTCACGCCCATACGTGGGAATGACACATATTCGGGGCCAAGTTTGAGTTCATTAATATCTACATGAATGGGGAACATCCCCTTAAAATTACAATCTTCTAACTTTTCAGGTTCCCGAGTTAGCGACTTATCCGAAAAAAAAAAAACTTTCACGAGCTTGCACGTGGGTATCACGCATAGTCGGGCGCTGGGTATGAACTCATTAATACATGTTTGGACGGGAACATCCTCTTAAAATTCCTGTCTTCTAGCTCCTCCAGTTTCCGAGTTATCAATCTACCCGAAAAAAATTTTAGCCGGCCCGTGCATGACTACCACGCATAACCGAGAGCTGCGTTTGAGCTCATTATTATCTGCTTGGATAGGAACATCCCCTTAAGATTTCAGCTTTCTAGCTTCTCAGGTCCCGAGTTAGCAACTTACCCGCAAAAACTTTCGCGGGTCCGTACGTAGGTACCACGCGGGTAAGACTGCCATTATGGGGATTGGGGCCCGTACATTCATGTAAACTAAGTCCCCGATGTTTCATCCCTGTAGCTTTTGTAGGTCTCGAGATGAAATATTGGTACAGTGGCCTAGCACACACACAGACAATCTCTCATCAATATGTGTTTTCTGCATTGCACTGCTGCAAAAAACGCATAAAAAATGGCGCGTGACGAATTCGCAGATGATCATTAGTTACTGGAAATTTAAAACAGACCTCAGGAGGATAGGCATCAAATCGCTTCGATGCTTCTCATCAATCACAGAATTCTGGTCGTCTACAGTAAAACAGATAAGTTCATTGAGAAAAAGCTTCTCGTCCACCAAATTTTCGAAATTTCCCCTGAAAATATACCGCACAGTTGAGTAAGCGCGACAGCGCCCTTACAATTTCTCAAGGATAAACCAGAAAGACGAACCTATAAGGTGTGAGATATTTGTACTTGTAGCTGAACAAGCATTTCACTGCCAGCTTCTGAATGTGTTCGTCGGCAACCAGTAAAAGCTTAAAGAATGTAAATTACAAATAACCAGAGTATCGAAAAGATTTTAAAATAATTGGCCAACGCACGGGCTGCCCGTGCGAAGATGCGTTTTTTGCATGGTTCCCCGCAGTTTTTATTGCTCCCGGAACCGGTTTTTCGGCAAATGCTTCTAGCTAAACAAATTAAGACTGGTTACCAGAACTGTCAGAAAACATTCCCTTTAAAATTTCAATTTTCTAGCTTCCCTGGCCCCTGAGATAGCAACTTACTGGAACAAAATTTTCACGGGCCCGTGCATGTTTACCAAGCATACCTGAGAGCTGG